CATTCTTTTTTTTTATTAGTGTAGACTAGTGGCCTGGTGCATGAAATTCGTGCACATTAAAAGGGAATTAATTAGAGGAAATATTTTATTGCTATTTGCCTGGGAACCAGAGTCAAGTCCCCGCCCACCTGTGCATGCCTTGAAATAGCATGAGACCCAAACCAGGCCGGCTCCACCACCGTCAAGCCCCGCAGGGCGGGGGTTACAGCCTCAGGTCCCCTGGCCTGGTGCCAGGTGGGGGGTACAGCCTCAGGTCCCCTGGTGCAGCCTCAGGTCCCCCCGCCCCGGCGCTGGGGTGGGAAGCACGGCCTCAGGTCCCCTGGCCTGGCCTCAGGTTCCCCCACCACCCAAGCGGTAGGGTGCAAGGGTGTGAAGGCACAAGGGCATGATGATCGTTTGCATATTAGCTCTTTATTATGTAGGATTACCACCTGCAACTGGAAGGTACACAATATGGAATTCTTGGTACAGGCCCTCATTTTAAGAATGACCAAATTTCTGCCCACTTTGAGTGTCTCAGTTGGTTGAGCATCCTCCTGTGCAGAGAAATATTTGTCAGTTTGATTCCCTGTCAAGGCACATACCTGAGCTATGGGTTTAATCCCGGGTCAGGATATGTATGGGAGGCAACTGATTGATGTTTCTCTCTGTCTGTCTTCCTCTGTCATACCATGTGCTCGGGTGAGGATTTAAAAATAAAAAAAGAAAGAATGATAGAACTTCAGAGAAGACTGAATTCTAAGTTCAGGGTGGCCTCTTGTGCCAAAGTCAAATCCCTGATAAAGAAAGCATGAATCCACAAAACTCAGAGTGGCTTTCTGAGAACTCTGAACTCTACATCCTTCTGAATTCACTGTCCTGCAAAAGAGACCCCTGCCCCTGTTGCTATACAGACCACTGCCCTGCCCACCATCTTGCTTGAACTAAGATTATGCAGAGTTATCTCAGCATGACCAAACGAGGAATATTCTAGATGAGCCTGCTAGCTGAAGAGAAAGTTTACTCCAACAGAGCTGCAGGTCTAACCCACATGTACTAACAGCAGCCAGGAGATTGTGTGTGAAAGTGAATCCTGGAAAAACTATGTTAGAATATAAAATACGGATGGGGGATGTTCATACAGGCACACTCTCCTGGGCCACAGAGCTTAATTAGCCTGGCAAGGTCCAAAGGCAATGATTCTAATATGCTTCCAGGTGGCTCTTGGAGGCTTGCTATAGCACAGTGCACACCAGATGACGTGGAAGAAGAAATACAAGACTTTCCAGGGCTGATCATTTAAAGGGGGGGGGGATCCAAAGTCTTAAGGCGGTATCATGGCTCTACTCTCTAAAACTAGATATTCCATCCATCAGGTTACTGTGTCCTCAGATGCCTCAGAGACACCACCTAATAAGGCAATAAGGAATGCACTGCTACGACAGCAGCTGCATCCTTGAAATGCTCAGTCCAGACTGTCCTATGTAGGTTGGAATAATGTAGGAATAATTTACAGAGCTGGATGCCCTAATAACAAATTCAGTGATAGGTCTCCAGAATAACTGAAGCTAAGGTGCAGTATTAACTGATGAGTAATTTGTATGAGAACCCAGGCAGCAAGCTCAGAATTACAACCAGGGACCCTGGCCCATAGATGTCTAAGAAATTAGATACTATAAGATGCTGTTCTTACAGGCAAGACACATGAGCAGTTAACAAGGATATTGCTTTTTATATGTCATCAAAAAAGATTATAGATGATCAGATGGTTGAAGTGCTACTTCAATGAAAAGACAACATTCCTTGCCCACTTTCCAGACCTCAGCCTATTCTTTAACCAGAAGCTGTTGATGGCAGTTCTTATAAGAAAGGACTGTGCAATGTACACCATAGTAATTCCCTGAGTTCTTCACCAAAGGCACCTTTAGCTATTTATTCAAGTAACTATATGCGAGACAAAGAAAACTCACAGAAATTTTAAGTTATTGATACAGTATATGAGTTGATACCTTGGGACCCAAGACACCATAGTGGCCCCTCTTCGACTACATGGACATAAGGATCTGTGCATCCAACAGTGAGTCCACTCAATCCATAGAGCCACACAGCATTCATTTCCCAAAAACGGAACGTATAATCAGGACAAAAAATTGTTTTATTAACCATTCATTTCTTAACCTATGAAATAACAATGACTGTCCTAGGAAAGACCAAATGAAAGGCTCTGAAATAGAACTTTTACACGGTGAACACAGTAGGCTAAAAGCAGTATTGCATTTCTTAGGAAGGAGGGAATGACAGAAGTTGGTGCCACTGCAAAGATTGAAGGATGAAAGGGTTATAATCCCCTTTACATCTCCATGTTTTAGCCATCTGGTTTAGGAAAAAACTAGGTGCTTTCTGGCTACTAGATAACTACTAGAAACTTAAGCAAAGTTGGGGCTTATAGACTCAGCAATGAGACCTTAGTAGACTGCATTCTTGCTTGTAGTGGTCCCTAAGGTGAGATCCCAAGTAGTAGCTCTGCCCTTCTGAGGACCAAGCCAATGGTTCCATCTAGCCAGAGCTCAGTTGGGAGTTTT